ATCCAACCTAACCCTGTTCCAGTGCCCAAACACCTTCTGGGGGAAGAACATTCTCCTAAGATCCAACCTAATCCTGTTCCAGTGCCCAAACACCCTCTGAATTTTTTTCTAATATCCAACTTAACCCTTCCCTGACACAATTTCAGGCCCTTCCCTCACGTCCTGTCACTGGTTGCCAGAGAGAAGAGTTCAGTGCCTGTCCCTGCACTGCCGGTCGGGGAAGAGTTGTGTACAGTGATGAAGGAACCACCCAAACCTCCCCCGTGGGAGGCTCATCAGCCACTGCTCATCCCTCTGTGCTCCTTAGGGCTGAGCACAAAGCCGTTGCAGGGCACAGGGTGCTGCCCCAGGCCCATCTCCAGCCCTCAGGGATCCTGCAGGCAGACAGGATTGAGGCCAAGTGGCCCCCGGAGGCTGATTTCCTCCTCCTTTCATCGCTGCTGCAATTTGAGGAGTTGTTGCCGTGGGGGATCCACATAGGACAGTTCCAGGGGCTCCAAGGCAGAGAGCTTTTCACACCTCCATTGTCGTTGCTCTGCAGCAGCTCTCGGGATGCAGACAAGCCTGTCCATCAGGTTTCCCCACCCTGAGAGATGTTTACCGGGAACTTCCTGCACGGATCACTGCAGGTATGAAACCAGCTCCGAAATACCTGGAGGATGAGCAGAGCAGGGCAGGTCACGAGGAGGGGGATAAGGTCCTGCTAAACTGCCCTTCTAGAACAGAGTGATCAGGACACTGACAGAGTGACCAGGACACTGACAGAATGATCAGAGCTCTGGGTTTAAGGTATTTTTATTTTAGTGTTCCACAAAACCAAAAGTTGTAATAAAACAGCTAAAAGCAGAGAGTACACACAAGGGAAATACATTCAGATCCTTCAATAATAAAACAGTATCTTTGATTCTTAAGGCCCTTAGAGGACATAAATGCCACTGCCCTCATACCCAGGGAAGGCTTTAATGAGCATTGCCAACACAAATGAGGTACCAGGGTTGTGGGATGCTCTCAGGGCTGTGACCCCAGAGCAGTGCTGGTTCTGCTCTGGGAAGAGGCTCCACACCTGCAGCAACAGCCCCAGGGCAAGGCCAGGCACAGCTCAGGGCCCACCTCAGCCCACACAGCTGTAACCAGCACAAAAAGGCTGCAGGGGAGGATACTAAACGTTTTAAGGCTTCACCTCTGCTAAGAGCACATGCTATTGCTTTGGCTCTGTGCAGATAACTCCCGGGTACACATTCTTCCCCAGGGGAAGGCACAGGACCCCAACTCCACGACATCCACACCCCAGAAGCATCACACACCCGAGGTGCTGCCAACAGCCACTGCCTGTCACACCCAGATGATTCTAGAACAAGGGCAGCAGGGAGCAGGAGCCCAGTCCCACTTGCTTGTGTCCAGTCACAGCAACCAGTCACACCAGTTTTGGGTTTCTCACCCCTACAAGGCACCACAGGTTCTTCTCTCTGACCCACAACAGCAGAATGCTACAGAATAAACTCTAAAATACAAGTTTATCAATGAGGTAAAGGATCTTCTTTGCAAAGATCCACCAAGGCACAAGGAGGAAACTAATCAATCCTTCATCTTCCTCACTCGAGAAGCAGCAGCAGTTTCAGCAAGGCCAACCAGCACCACTCAGAATTAAACCACCACCACTAAGGCCACGTTTCAGACCTTTATCCATAGCAGAGGGTACAGGAGAAGAGAGAGAACTGCCTCACTGCAGACATTGCTGAAACAGCAGTAAAATGAGATAAAAGTTCCTGAAGTCTTGAAAAACTCTTAACTCTTCAGGCCTGTTAGAGTCAGGCTCCCCATGAGGGACAGCTCTGTCACAAGAGCTCCAGACTTTGGTAGCAGGTCAGTTTACAGTGGTAAAAATGTCATCAACAGCATGTTTTGAGTCCTCTAATACACGTTTACATCTCCAGGGAAGTATATTAAACTGCTCTTTGCTACAAAAATACAGTATTTGAGATCTCCAGCAGCTTCCAGTGGTTTGTGACTATTGTGAGCAGATTGCTCCCTGGGTGAGAGTTGGTCCAGCTGGTCCAGGTCCTCAATAAAGTGCTTTGTTGTAGGAAAAATCGAGTAAGAAACTCACCCCTAGGCCAGGAGTGACCCAACAACCCAACACCTGCAGAAGGTAGGAGTGTTTATTGCCACAGAATTAAGGCTGGAAAGCTTTAAGCTTTGGTCCTCATAAAGCTTTGGTCCTTTGCTCCCTCTGTTGGTATGCCAACTACCTTCTAAGCCTTTCATGGACTCTCCCAACCCTGGTAAATCCCAAATGTGCAAAGAGGCATGTGATTTTTTTTGATCTTCGACAAGAGCTTGCCAAAAAAAGGCCACATTCAGTTTTCAGAGGAGGAAGTTGTGGTAGCTGCTGTCTGAAAGGATGGAGAGAACATCCCCATCCCCACTGGAAGCAGACAGAGGTAGTGACTGTCCAGCAAAACCAGCATCTCTCAGCTACACAAGACTTTCCCCTCCCATCCTGAGCAGCAAGTCCCAAAGAACCACAGCAGAGACGAGCTCTGCAGGCTCTCCCACCCCGAGGGAGGTTTGGCCCCTCCTGGGCTGTACAGGGAATGCACACACAAAGCACTGTGAGCCTGATCACCTCTGAAGGTCATTCCAAGGTGAGCCCCAGCTCCAACGTACAAGGTATTGGTGTCTGATAAACTGCAGTCTAAGAGGGAAATGGTCACAGAACTCCCACGGGGAGATGTGTGAATCCACATCTGTTTTGGAGCATGGAGCAGAGCCAGGAGTGCCTCTGCCTCCTTTGATTGACCTTCAAACCAGGAATTGTAAGACAAAAGAGAACAGCTTCAGATTTAAAATGTACCTTTGGCCCAAATCCGTTGCTATCATTCCTATGGTAGCAACATACCACCAACCTCAACGCTCCCTGCACCAGAAAACCTGTAAGAGAACCTTGCAGAACTCTTTGGACCAACATCCCCTTGATGAGATGAGCTCAGATTTGTTCCTCCCTTTCCAATCTCTTAACTTACATTCACCTTTCAGGGCATTAATTCCTTTGGAAGCACGGCCCAGGTCTGAAGCACATCATCTCTGGACTTCTCCAGTGTAGCTATTAATTAGCATTTTAAAAACAATCAAATCCTCAAGCTCTACTGTACCAGGATTTATATTGCACTACAACTTCAGATACGGAAAGAAGAGTAACTGATCTATCAAAGCTGCTACAAAACAAAACCATTAAAAACTCTTCCTAAAGGATCATCAGTGCCTTGCTGGGAAGCAAAGCATGTCAAAAACCCTCCTCCTTTCCATCACAACCAGTCTTTGGGTTAATGCCTGGTCTTCCCAGAGAATGGGAAAAAACAGAAATAAATATGATAAGGCAACTCCATTATGAGACCTAATGGAATTACTAATCGATCCAAGAGTTGCTCAAGGCAGAAACAGGAAAAAGGTCATTTTCCATGGATGACACAACTAGCACCACCTGCTCCACACCAGCTCCTCACTTCTCCATGGGAATTCCATCCTTGCTCACCAGCGTCCCCAAACCTTTCACATCTTCCCAGCTTTCTTGTTCCCAGACATGGAGACACGGAGGATGTTTGGGGTTTCTTCCATGACCCTGACGAGCAAGTTGTCAATGTAGTCCTCGAGCTCTCGCACCTGCAGATCCTTCCTGGTAATCATATCCTTCTGCTTCAGCACCAGCTGGATCAGCTCATCGTGTGTCAGCTGAGCATATGCATAGGCAGGCTCTGAAGGATCATATTTCTGGGGGAGGGCAGAGAGGCAGGGTCAGTAGAGACACACAGGCATTCCTCAGCAGCCTCAGAGCACACCTGGCTCTGGCCTGGGGGTGGAAAGCACCAACAAGGAACTTCACATATGGCATTTGCAGAGCCACAGCTGCTCTGTGCTCCACACCTTGTACAAAGCACCAAATCTGTGCATAATGTCAGTTCTCCAGCTCAGCTCTGATGCAGTTTGTGCTGGAGGAATGAGGAATGTTGTGCTTCGTGAGGATGCACAGAAGTTACAGCCATGAACCATCAACCACCATCACTTACAGGGCAGCACTGAGACAGCTGTTGCTCAAACAAACCAGAGACTGGGAAAGCCAAACTCAGGTTAAACAGCAAGAAACACCCAACCAGGCCTTTGGTGTTTCCTCCTGTGTCTCTGATTTAACCCTTAAGCAACTTGACAGCTCCAGGGCAGCCTCTGCTCCCAGAACACCTGCCCAGAGACAGCACCACAGGCTACTGTGGCTGCTCCATGCACAAGTCACGTGGAACCAGAGCACCACAGGACTCATTACAAGTTCTCAACTCACGACAGTTTGAATCACTTCACTCCCATCCTCTCCCCTCATACCAGATGGAGGCACTCCTGTTATTTCAGTTCTAACTTCTCATTTTCCCCAAAGAGCCTTCAAAGACAATAACAGGACCCAATGTTTGCCCTGCTGACCCAGGGGTGCTCCCAGGTCAACATGTGAGCTGTGCCACAAACCTGGAGGTCTCTTTTGAGGCCAAGATTGTGCAAAAAGCTGCTTTCAGTACCAGTGATGATGCCAGCTGCAGGGCTATGCTCTGAGGAAGTGGCTCTGCTTGAGAACCTCCTCCACAACACACAAGGCACCAACTCTATTTTAGATCAGGCCAGATACCTTGAATACACAAACTCTGTTCAATTAAACCAAAGCTTAAGCAGTCGAAGTGCCACTTCCCTCCCTACCTTCACACTCATCTCCAGCATCTTTTCGCTCATGGTGCTGATGACATTCAGGGTTTTACTTTGAGGCTTGTTTGCTGTGGCATTCATTGGTTTCACAGGATGGAGTCTGCAACAGGAAAAAACAGTTTATGTTGTTTAGCAGGACATGTAACATCAGCACAACACAGATCTGACTAAACACACAGCAAGAAATTGGGGACATTCCCTCCCTTCTGTATCCACAGGGAGGAGAGATTCAGCTTTGGGAAGACAAGGCATTTCTAAGCTACAGGGTTTTTATAAGTATCTCCAGTTCTCTACCATCTCTATTGACTTGCAATAAAGCACAGCAAGGAAAACACATCCCAAGTGGTATGTCATGGAAGAAAAGCCAGGGCAGGAGGAGGCAGGACACAGGGCAGCTACTCTGGTCTCAGGCACTGGGATTCCAGCCTGACTTCCCTAAACAGAATGTATTTGTGGTTCTTGCAGCGTATCAAATACTTCCACTGTCCTGGGACAAGCATGTTAGGGCCTTTTCTAGTCTGAGCTGAGGCCTGAGCTGCCAAGAACACTGTCATTATTTGCCTGAGCAGGATTTACAATTTTAACACAGGAAGCAAATTTCACTTTTATCTCGGCAAACATTGGACCAGAAGCATCCTAGACCCCAGAGCTCTGTAGGAAGGGTCCTGAGGGCTGGCAGGTCAGTGGCACCACTCCCTGCACAGCAGGAGCTGCAGAGAGCTCCAGGAGCAGCCACAAGACCCTTCGAGGGACAGCCCTGAACTACACCACCTGCTGTGACCACTGAGGAGCCCAGTCCAGCCAGGAAATGAAGCATCCTGGTTTATCAGGGTGACCCTTCTCCCATGTCAACAACAGATCAGCTCCAGTCTGTTTCCCCAGCCGGACGAAACGAGCCTATGTCAGCTGCTGCACTCTGTCCCTCGGAGGTGTGAAGAGCAGCCTCAGCACTCTCGGCCCCCTCAGGAGCTGCACAGATCCTTCTGGAGCCACCAATGGCCCCACACTGGGTGACAGCACCCAGGCCCTGACAGATCCAGTCCCCAGAGGGAGTCAGGGCTGTCCAATGCCATGTCACTGCAGAGAGCAGCAGATCCAACAGCTGCAGAGACAGACCTGCACCCTAGGAAGCAAAAGCCAAGCTCACACCTGCACAGAGGTACCTGCTGTGATTCCCACACGGTCTCACCTGTGCTTGGGAGACACGGTTTCACCTCCCCACAGGGTTTGGTTAGGGAACGTTTCAGAGGGTGAAACCCATGCCTGGAGAAGCTTCTTCTTGCCCGAATTTCCTGCTTTATCTGCGAAGCCCTCGGCTCTTGGCTTTTTCGGAGACTCTGCTCTATGACTTGGGGTGTCAGAGACAAGGGAACGAGAGGAAAAGTAGGGCTGACAAGGACTTGACAGGGAGGAAGAGGAAACAGAAGGCCCAGAGAAGTCACACTCTGCACTCTCCTCAACACCTGAACTTGTTTCCAGCTCTTGCTTCTCAAAGTGGCTATTACACTCCCTGGAATGAGACGTCACACTTAAGGCTGAGTCAGCTGCCTGGATACTGACCCTGGGAGCACTCACTCCAGCAGGCAGCACTGGGGATCTGCCTGGCTTGCAGGCACCAGGGACACCTCCTCCTTCTGGAGCTGCTGGGGTCACAGCCAAGCTATCAGAGAGCTCTCTGGGTTCTCCATGCACAGATGCTGAACCTGGGGGCTGCTCTCCAGCCCCTGAAACACCTTCATCACCTGCAGCGACCCCATGGCTCTCCTGACAGTCTCCCAGCAGCTCATCATCGGAGCCTCCCTCTGGGATCACTGGCAAACTGGCCAGTTTTGGGCCACGGTCTCCAGGAATGGGAATGGCACACTTGAGATTTGTGACAGAGAAATTGTCGTCACCTTCATGCATTAAAGGCCTGTCACTGCTGTCATCTCCCAGCATCGCTGGAGGGGTGACAGTCTCTAAAGAGCCACTTTGGGGGAGGCACCCACGAGCAGCTGAGGCTTTATCATCAGGTAACAGGAGCCCAGGAGCGGATACACCATCCCCTGCAGAAGGAACATCACCCTTTAACTCAGCCTGAGAAACTGCTGGGCGCTTCCGTGGGGCTGGCTTTGGTGGGACAGGGACCTCACCGCCAGCCCTCCCCACATCTGCCTCCCGAGGGGATGGTGTGCAGGCTCCCTGGGTGGGTCTGACTTGAGAAAATGAGTCATTTTTAGCAGGGGGAGTTGCCTGGGGCTGTAACACGGGAGCACGTCCTGCCCATCGCTCTGCACCACACACCTCCCGCTCCCCCCTGTGCTCACTCTCAGGGCACAGCAGCTGTTCAGACTCCATGTCTGGCACGAGGCTGCTAGTAGACTTGGAGAGAGATGCAGAACCTTTGCCACCAGTTGTGCAGGGCTCAGTGTTTACACCAGTGACCTCCACAGTGGGCTTGTTGTCTTGGACAGGACCTGTGCTGTCACTAGACAGCTCTGCTGATGGGTGCCACTTCCCTGCTTGCTCTCCTGCTGCCCCTGATCCCATACATAACCTTCCACTGGAATCAGAGTGCTGCTTTGCCCCTTCCTGCCCACCCAAACCCACATCACCTGATGTATCACCCTGTGAGCCTCCAGGGACAAAGGACACAGATTTCCCATCATCTAGCTTGCTGCTTTCCAAAGAATCCTCAGGCTGAAGCTGGGGTGAATCCCTCTGCTTCTTTGGAGCCAGCCCAGAGGGGTCAGACAGGGTGCCCAGAGGGTCTGGCACAGCTGTGACATCACTAGTTAAAGCCACATCCGAAGAGCTCCCTGAAGCATCACAGGCAGGGTGTCCTGCTGAGGAACAGTCCTCATCAGGAGGAAGGCAGGAAGAGGAAGAACCAGCGATAGCTTGGGAGCCTGGAGCACCTGCCTGCACCCCAGGCTTGGACACAAAGGGATTGTTGTCATTGAAGTGACAATCAGAGGAGACAGAAGGTGTGGAAGAGTGAGACAGACCCCGGGAAGCACCTGTGTCAGAGTTCCCAGGACCCTGACTCCAGTCAGCAGCAAAAGGATTATTACCCCTAGCAGAGACCTGCCCAGAAAGAGGAGCTTTGGGAACAGATGCTGCAGGATGATGGGATGAAGGGAAAAGGGTGATGTCATCAGGATCCAGGGCTGTGGATGCCCTGTCCCATTTGGGAGTAAAGGGGTTCTTGCCATTCCAAAGCTCTGCAGCATGAGCGGGAGAAGTGAGACAGGCAGGAGAACCAGGGATATTTTCAGAATCTGACACTTGGACTTTCTGCCCCGTTTTAGAAACAAAGGGATTGTTTTCACTGCTGATACAGTGTACAGAAGGAAAAGCAGGGAGGGGGTCAGGTGCAAGAGTAGGAAGCGTGGCTTTGGGTTCCTCCTCTGGAGACAGGCCCAGTCTGCAAAAAGGGACAAAAAACTCGCATGTCACTTGCGGATGCAACACGAGGCAGGAACAGACAAGCTTTAGCACCAGCCTCCATCAACTCCTGCCACTAGAGGTGAATTACACTTGCAAGAGACCTCAGAGCCTGTCTGAGAGGCTTTATATCCTTTACTGCGTCTTCACAAAGGATTTTATGTCATTTATGTCAGAACTCTTCTGCTGCAGAGTTTGGTTTTGCTGCTTTAAGCACCATCTCAGCTTTGCACTCCAAGCAGGTTTGTTAGTATGTAAACCACTTCATAGGCAAGAAACTTGAATATGAACAGCACTGAAAATGAGGAGTTAGGGACACACACAAAACACAGCCTTGTTAGGAGGGCACATGTATATACACATATAAAACCACAGGCACACACAGTTTTTATATGTCTATGTGTGTGAAGGCTGAAGGAGCAGAATTTCCAAAAAAGCCCTGTGTACAAACCCACACAAAATCCCCTCGTGCTGCTGCGAACAACGCCAAAAGCAGAAGGGCTCCAAGATTAACCTCTGGCAGACCACAGCCACATGGAGAAGAGGAAAGCAGAGATGTTAGAAGGGGCATTCCAAACCCTGGGAAGGTTCCGGTCACACAGCTCAGACAGAGTTAGTTTTTGCAAGAGATCCAGCGAGAAAACTCAGCCCTACAGTACCTGCACAGGAGTCTGCACTCAGAGAACCACTATTTCAGTATCGCTTACAAGGAACATCCCTACATCCATCTTTTTTTCATACTGAGAATGAACTCGGAGTCATTATCTGCTATTAAAGTGCCCAACACCAGCTTAAAGCCCACAGGTACCCTGAGAGCAGCACCTGAGCCCAGGTGTGGTGGGACACAGCCACAGCTGCCACCAGCACTGCCTGTCCCAAACCCTGCCAGCAGCCAGCACTGACCTGGGCTTCACAGCTTTGGTCTTGGCTGCAGCAGCAGCTTTCTCAGGTTTCCGTTCCTCCTCGCAAGGGTCGAGTGGCTGCTTGTTGTTGAAGGTGTCATCTGTGGGCTGAGCATCTCCTGATGGGCTCCCTCTGCCCAGCTCTGCTGGGAGTTCAAGGCTTTTGGCCTTCTCTTCACTCTTCTCTTCTGGAATCTTGTTCTCCTCACTCTGCAGGGTCCTGTCAGGAATATTCTCAGCATCACTGGCCTTTGTTGTTTCCTTCTTCCCAGCAACCAGGGAGAGCAAGGTAGACTTTCTGTTCTCTGGTTTTTTGGTGTCCCTAACAGCCTCACTGGTTGGTGGAACACTCATGTCCAGGTGTTCCTCACTGCTCAGCAGCTTGTATGATGGCAAAGTCATGGATTTGAAGGTCTCCAAGGATGCTGACCCAGAGAAAGCCTGACTGGGAGAGGTTCTTCCTGTCTCTTCAGGTGCTTTAGTGGCCCTGGAGGACAGGTTCTCCTCTGAGGCAAAGAGCTGCTTCCTTCTGAAGTTGTGAGGTGAGGGGGAGGACGTTGGAGTGGTGTCCTTTGTCTCTTCCATATAAACGTGGCTGCCATTGATACACAGACTGGACTTGGACACGGGATCGCTTTTGGATTTAAGGCCACTAAACAAAGAGAGCCCTTCCTTCTTGGTGTGGTTAGTGGTTCCTTGGGTTAGCTGCCTGCTGTCCAGAACTGCTGTCTTACGGGATTTAAACAGAGGAGAAGGACCTCGCTTCTCTTCCAGGGCATTTCCAAAGGCTCCTGAAAAAAAAGAAACAGGGAGAAATTCAAGATGCAAGAACAACCTCTGACACTCACTACTGACAACCTCAGTGCCAGGAGGGACTTTATATGGATTGTTCAGAAAGAAGAGTTTAACCAGTGCTGTGAGAAGTATGAACAACTGTTTGGAGAAAAGCTTTGTGCTCCCCAGGGCAGTGAGTGCCAATACTCACGTCCTGAGCTCGGGGAGGTGTCGGACTCGTCCTCATCAAGCTGCAGCTTGAAGTCACTAGGCCTCAGCTTCACCTTCTGGGTGACAGATTGCTGTGTCGGCAAGACTGACATGGACTGGGACAGGGAGGTCTTCTGCAGCCCAGGTTTGGAGAACAGCGTCTTGAACTTGGATTTCTTCTTCTCCTCCTCAACAAACTCATCCTCGCTGTCAAGCGGGGAGTGGCTTGTGCTGGGAACGATCGCTGATGCCGTGTCTGACAGGCCACTGCTCCTCTTGCCCTTGAGCTTGTCTTTGAGCTTCCCAAAGGGAGAGCGAGATTTGTCCTTCATGGACAGATCAAACATACTGGCTGTCATGTTGCTCCTCATAAACTGGACATCCACCTCGATCTCTCCTCTCTCCTTTTCCTTCCTCCCCGGTTTGGAGCGAAGTTTGTACCACCTGCAGTAACAAGGAGATTTTCACTAAGCAGTACCCAAGGCATGGGTAACTGAGAACACAGAGGTGCTTATGTTTAAAAATCAAATCAGCCTACAGAGCAGGAAAAGAAAAGCCTTTAATCTTCTGATGACGTCACAGAGCCCCAAGTGCCAAGAAAAACACTCCTTATCGTAACCACAAAGTTATTGGTGAGATTTGGTTTAAAACACAGATCAGGAAGGGTTAAATAAAGGAGAGAAAACAGAAACACAACATGGAATTCCTGTATTTCAGCTCAGCCACTCTCCTCTGCCCTTTCATCTCTCCTCCTGACGTTGGCAGAGGCCAAGGCTTTGAAGTGGGTGCGAGAGCAGCAGCCTCAGAGCGTGACACAGTCCGAGAGCTCCACACTAGTCCCACGCCCTCATACCTTTCATTCCAGCTCCTTTCCAGTTGTTATCTTAATACCTCTTAAGCCAAGGAACCCCTAATCAACAGAGAGAGAGCCAACCCAAGCCTTGCAGGCACTGGGGATTTCCACTCACCTCTCCCAGCTCGTGACTGCTGCGCACCAGGAAGGACATTGCTCACAGAGCCTCATCCCTTCCCAGAACGCCAAGCTCTGTGTGGAAAGTGCTCACTCAGGGCATCCCAAACCACAATCCTATCATCCACACGCCCTCAACCACCACTCAGTGACACTCAAACCACATTTGGGCCACCAAAGAGAATTATCAGCACTGCACAGCAATATGGTTTTGCCCATTGCTGGAGCCGCAGAATTCCTGACTCCACAGAACCCAGAAGGGCTGCCAGGAAAACATTGATTTCTTCCTCCTCACCAGATGGAATGGGAAAATAAAGGAAGCAAACAGAGCATGTAAATGAGCTTCTCCATCGAATTTGCTCTTTAACCTCCAAAGGTGCACTGGAAGCAACAAAAGAGAATACATACGAAAAGGGAATTTGCTCCAGAGAAGATTCAAAACTAATGAGGATTATTCAAGGAGATCGATTCAGGAATCTGCTACACACACTTAAGAGGGAAATACGGACAAAATTCCTCCCTGTGAGGGTGTTGAGGAACAGGCACAGAGAAGCTGTGGCTGTTCCATCCCTGGAAACATTGGATGGGGCTTGGAACAACCTGGGCTAGTGGAAATTTGTCCCTGCCCATGGCAGGGGGTGCAACAGGATGAGCTTTAAGGCCCTTCCAACCCAAAGCAGTCTGTGGCTCTAAATGAATGCTCAAGCTACAGCAGATGCTCCAACCTGGAGTTACAGGACACTCAGGGAAGGGATTTCACCAGGAGACTGAGGCTTTGCCTGGGCCCTGAGCTGCAGCCAGCAGCAGCCCTGGAATGACAAACCCTTTGCCTTTCCCATGAGCCAGCACTGGGCACTGTTGTCCCGAGCCGAGCGGTTTCTAGGAGCATCCTGTGCTCACAGGGCTTCGGTGCCACAATTGATCCGTGAGCTCCCTGCCCCAGCGAGCCACACGCAAACAATGTGGTCAGCAAGGGCAGCTCAGCCCTGACCCAACACAGCACCGTGGAAGGAAATCATAGGCTGATCCCATGAAACATCTTATTAATGCCATTTATCATGTTAGTGAGCACTTGTCAATCAATGTTCATCTACTTTCCAAATAAAACTAGTCCCTCATGGCTACACATCACCACAGCAGTCAGGACAAAACAGGCTTCAAGCAGGTGCTTGAGGGCTGGAAACAACTGAAAGACCAGAAATTGCCCCAGGAGCACCAAAGTTGGATTTTCTTCTTTCCTCCCCCTCAATTTTCCTTGGCTCAGACACAAAGGCACCAGCCTGGGAGCCCGAGGCACCCGGCCCTGAGCTCTGCTGACCGAGGGCACAGAGCTCTGCAGAGTAAACACGGCAGTGCCTGACACAGCCCTAACGAAGCTGCCGCCTAATTAAGCCCTGACGAGCAGCGACGCGACACAGCTCCCAGCCTGGGCAGGGCAGAGCTCCTCCTGGCCCCTCTCAGGTGAGCCAGGGGAGGAAGGTGACTCACAGGCCACATTACAAGGCTGCAGACTGCCAGCAAATCCCTCCCAGGAGCCACCCCTGGATTCGCTGTCCCAGTGTTTGTGACACAGAGCTGGCGCCGGTGCCCACAGAACCCCGAATTAGCCTCCCTGACATGTGCTCGGGCCCTGCTAAGTGTTTATTAAGGAAAATAAACAAACATCTGGCAGAGAACGTGCTCATTCCCTGCTGGAAGGCAGTGGCATTCCGAGGACGTCAGGTTTCAGGGGTCAGTCTGGCTGTTCCCTGTGCTCAGCGAGAGCACTCACACGGAAACATGTGAAAATAAAACCCAAGCACCAGGCGAGACCGGCTGGAAAAGTTCCAGCTGCGTCCCCCACCAGGCCCCAGGCCGTTCCAGGGGGGAGGCACCCCGGGGCTATGGGTGGTTTGTGAGGGGGCTTGAGATGTTTCCATGGAGCATGAGGGTCTGCAAGAGGACTCCGGTCCCAGACCCACTCGGGGTTAGGGTGGACAGAAGTTTCCATGGGGAATAGGGACATTCCATGGGGAACTGGT